AAAGAAGAGCATAGCATCGCCCTCAGCACGATGATGTCGGAGTACTATGCATTAGCCACCTGTATGATGAAGGTGATCCCATTGCGCAACCCAGTGAAAGCTGTCGCCAAAGGGATGGGCATTAATTAGCATTGCTTGACCTCGTTCAAGACCACTGTCTGGTAAGACAACGTGGGAGCTCTAACTCTGGCAAACCGGGAACCAGGTAAAAGCACTCCTCGCTCAAAGTTATATGATGTGAAGGTGCATTGGTTCCGCAGTCATCTCAAGCCTTGTAAGCTCGAGGTGGCGAAAATCGACAAAGCAGACCAGCTCGCTGACATGTTCACCAAACCCTTAGCGAGAGAAGATTCGAACGGCTTCGACTTCGTTTAATGGGCTGGTAGACGTGCTACAGTTTTTTTCAGCTCGCGGAGTAAGATATTTTCTTCTCCTCTGGCTCGAGCTGCATGTTGTCTAGCGTTGGAGCTAGCGGAAGATATGTTGGCGTCGTTCTCTGGTGCGCACGTATTGAATTGCGCGCGACAAGCTATGAATCTTCGCAAAGAGGGAGAACTTCCTTTTTTTTCTTTTCGCGAACTTCCAACTCTACGCTAAATTGATTGCGTCACGACAAGGGCATCCAACGTCACCATTCACGTCGCGCAGCGATCTCCACTGCTGTAATTTTCAAATTCAAGTCGTTGCTAGCGCAAAATAGTTGAATTTTCCATTGCTGGACGTCGAAAACTACCACGTCTTGAGAAATCCACGCCAATCATACACTCGTTTTTGCGAAGTTGGGTTTCGCTCCAGAGTAGCTTTCATACAACAATCAACTTTGATTTGAAGGTCTCATCAAAATCGTAATGTGGTATCCTATCAATTATGAAGGATCTTGCTTATCGACCTACTGAGCTGCACATCAGCCTGGCAAATTTTATTATCTGTGCATATCTTACTGCCATCTTGAGATCACCATGAAGCGCACCGGAAAAACAACCAAAGCAACAAGAAAACCGTCGCAAGGTGCTTGTGGTACTCCCAAGCAAGTTCAGTTGCTGCTGAAGCATCCTCCGAAGAAGCCAGCTTCCAAGAAGGATACCGTGAAGAAAGCAGCTGGGAAGAAGCAAGCTACCTTGAACCCAACCGCGGTTACCCCTGTTGCAAAGGCCGCACCTGCTGACAAGGTTGACGTAGGAACGTTGCTACAAGACCCTGTTCCGTCAACAAGTCCTCGCCCCATGTAACAGCCAGCCTGGTCTGTTCACTCAGGTCGCAAATTCAGCTGCTGCAGTCTCCGACACTTCAGCAGCATCAAACAACGACGACTCGGTCTCCGTAAACCAGCGTCGTGGAAGACGTCGCCGCTCACTTCCAAGAAAGGTTCCCAAGACAACTAGAGCTGGAACTGCCGTCGCGATCAAACAAGAAAGCAAGCCTGCGGTAATGACAGCTCGAAGCTCGATACCGACAAGCCTGTTGTTCTAGTTCGATGCCGTCCAGCTCAAGATAGCAGTCGCAACCTCACAGTCGAGATGGTCGGGAAGCGTTGGTTCACGGACTTCCTTACAACCCACCAGGTCGAAGATCGTGGTCTGAGCGGACTCGACATCGAGACCAAAATTGGAGGTCGCTCCGCGCTCATTTCCAAGCTAGTGGCTTTCATGAAAGACACTGTGTACAAGACTCGTATCCCTTCTGTCACGAAACGTCGAACTTGTCTCCAGCATTTCATGCGCACGGGAGTTCAACTTTGGGGTCTCACCATTGAAGAACAGCGCAAGGTGCTCTCCCAGGAGGACGGGACGTGCTACGCCGCCTCGGAGAATGACTATGAATGGAACGACCCTGAGCAGCCATTCATTGAAGTTGACGACGACAATGATGAAGAAGAGGAGCAGGACGAAGACGAGGACGAGCACGAGAGCGAGAATTAAACGAGGACGAGGTTGATCTACGAAAATACAAGAGATGGAGCCACTACCACTACATTGCATGTTTGTGTTTGTTTAGAGTTTGACATCGTTGTGCAGCAAAGAGGACTACGGTACAAAATTTGCTACCCCGTTCGGTTCAAGAGGGAGTGCGAGAGGAGCCAAAACCAGCTGGTGGTTGGCAATCACGAGGTGAACCTCCCGGGACTCGCTAGAACGAGGTAGACGTAGAATCCCCTTTTAATTTTTAGCTTATTCTTTTGTGTCATCCCATGTCTACATCGTACTGCACATCGGCCTCCGTTCGCATCCTTCCTGTGGCCCTGTCTGTGGCAGAATCCAACGGCCACCAGACGTGGATTTCGATTTGATTCGTGACTTGCTTTTAAAAAATTTCTTTGGTGGTGCACTGCGGCTTGATGTTTGGGGGCAGAAGAGGAAGAGAAGAGCTCTTGTCGGCTCTGTTGCTTTATTGCAGTGTGCAATCTGCCAAAGCGAGCTCATCGAGCACTTACCCAGCCCCACAAAAGACAACGGCTCGACTGACTCAGGTAAGCTTTGCACTTGATTGCATTCAACGCTGGTCGAAGACGAGGTAGGTTTGCACGCCAACATGAAGCAAACGTCGCGATTTGCCCCCAAAAGACGCAGACGGCAAGGATGTTCAAGGAAGCTCCTCGTCGTCTGCTTCCTACAGCTGCTCGTGGGTCGTCCTCAAGCACATCTCGTCTGAATCCGTTATTAGACGTTCAGTTTTTTTGTTGCTTCCTATAGCTGCCTTGGATAGAAGCCTTTTCAAAGGCATCAGCTTCGGTCTCGCTTACGACTAGGATCGGCCTAAATGCACACAACATCACAAAATACCGGTACATCGCGCAACGGATGAAATCTATCTATTCTCTTTCTTCGTTCGCCCTTCGATCTGTCTTGCACAGAGACTTCTCCTTTTCGCTCTCTTGATAGAGCCCCCCCTGTTTCGGCTCCTCGGCTGGTCCAACCCAACTTATGCAGATCCGCTGGTGCCGGCCAGTCTCCGGGATGGATAAGCTCTTCGCGTGTGTCGCTTTCGTAATGTTTGTTGAACGTACGCGCACCTCGGGTCCAGGAGGGAGACGGACCGGGGGTGGGTCCAGGAGTATGGTATGGTCTCTCCGAGATCAAAGCTATCGTGGTTTGGTGTGAGCCGAGACAGCAAAGAAAAGGTACCCAAACAGATGGACCAGGGGCGGGTCTGCTAACTTGTCCTTGCTGGTTGGGCATCGTGTTGGTCCAGATGGCTGTCGGACGTGGTGCCCGGAGGAGTGCGTAGGTTCTAGATACAGCGTACCATAGCTACTGGCCAATAGTCCTAATTTGAAGCCAAGGTGCCACCATCAATGGCGTCGTTGGTATCACGTCGTCGAGCAACTGCTTGGAATGTTCTACAGCAGTGAGTTGCCAAACGCCACAACGATGAGTTTGTTTCGTCAAATCCAGCAAACATCAGAGAAGAGAGAATGACTTCCAGAGTAGTCGCGGTCCTCTGAAAGAAAGATCGAATCGAGCCCCAGAAACCAAGCCCCCAACATCCATCACGAATTCAGACATCAGGGACAAATCAACCAAGATCCCGGCCGCCACCATTTCCCAAGGAAACGAAAACGATACAGGTAGACAGCAGACGAGGCTCGGGTTCGTATTTACCATGGTTTCTCCGCCGTCACTGCCGATGCATGCAGCATGCCTTGCTGTTTGCGTCATGGGTGAGGGAGACACCAAAGCATGGACCTACTACGCTGGTTGTCGAACCGGAAACATGGCTTTTACTATCATCCTGGCTGCACCCATCTAGCTACTAGTAGTGGGTTCTACAACATGTAACCTGCACGTTCGGCGTTCGGCTCCACGTATATCTTGTCAGGACCCCCAACAAGAATACTAAACGGCAGGAAAGAGCCAGGCATTGCGAAGAGGAAGAAGCTGTGCATCGGGATTCGGGATTCGGGATCCTTGCGGTGGGTGCCTCAAGAGGAGAAGCTGTGGCTCCGGAACAGAAACGGGAGTTCCGAGTGTCAGCAACGAGAGGAAACAAAACCAAAATATCAATCTCAACGCTGCGATGAAACAGTGAATGCGTGAGCTAGCTAGTTCTTGCCAAAACAGTGATCCAGCGACCTCTGCTACTAGCAGTACAGCCAACAGCCAAGAACATGTTGGCTCCTTCCGGATCATCGGACAGGCAAGACTCTTTTTGTCCTCAAGTCATTCGCTGCCGGCGCACAAAAATTTAATAGCTCCCTCAACTGACTGACTAGCTCTTTAGGATAGCAGAAGTCTTTCAGTCTTTTTGAGCCAGCGGATGCCACGAAAGGGGAGATGATGATGAATGTTGGGGCTCTATAACAAAAACAACTACTCAAATTCCAAAGAATCGTGTTGCCTTCTGCCTTTTGTGTGTTGAGACCTCAAACTCCGACGTACTATTAGTACCCGACGTACCACTGGCCATGTAAGTTGTCGAGGAGCAAAAAGTGTCAATAAACGCGAATAAATTTGCTGGGACTTTGGAAGGAAGGCATCTCTAACAAGCAAAAGCCCCAGAAGGTGTTCAGTGGAGAAGCGTCTTGTAAGTACCAAAATGATTGGGTCATCAGACGGCGCCTGTCTGCCAGGACCCCTCTATCTCACTGTTGCTGTCGTGGCGTCTGCTTTTGACCAGTTATTTGGTGGTGCAAGTCTTGCTCTTGCTGGACCACCGAGTCCAGTTCGATCGCTGTGCAAGGTGGGGAGCTGTGCGATATTTATTACGAGGGCGTCTGAGTTCCAATTATCCACCGACGACATGGCACTTAACTAGTTCCAAGAATAAAAAGAATAGATCGGTTAAATCTCAAAAGACCCATCTACACACTTTCCGAAATTAGGTATAGGGAGTGTTACGAGGAATCCTGTCTCCTTAAATACTTGAGGAATGCAACCAAGATCAAAGATATTGTCCTTGAAAAGCCCGGCTTCAGTACGAACCAACTGGAGTACTGAGGGTAGATAGCATCGACCAAGCCCCGACACACAGACCCAGATGCAGCGGGTTGAAATGCCCTTCAAGCATCGCACTTCTGTGTTGGATTGGAGACGCTGTTTCTCTCATAAATTGTAAGAGTCGCATATCCCATCCACACTCACAATGTACGCTCCTCTCTCCATTAACCAAGCTCCAATCTGCTCCACGACCACAGGCCAAAAGCGAAAAAGCGATACTACTAGCACCATGTTCGACCGCCGAGAGATTCAAGTATTGCAATTCCTAGAAGCAGCAACAGAACAACAACCCAAAAAGATGAGGTTCGAGGACATTTGTAGCCCCCGCAAAAGACGGGTTCATTTCCAAGCACCGGAAGCAGATAGCATTGTCCACTACGAGCGGCTTCCTCTTCACGAAGGAGCTGAGCTCTGGTACTGCCGCGGGGAACTCAAGGCCATCCACAAGGAGATCTTTGTGTCTCTCATGGAAGTCAAAAACGGCAACCTGTCCGACTTTCAATTCTCCGCACGCGGCCTCGAAGAGATCCGCAAGCGCAAGCCCCACAAGAGACAGATGCGACGCAAGGAATACATTGCCAGTGTAGTCGCCTTGAGCCGCGAACAACGACAAAACGGCATGGGACACGTGCTGGACGAGGAACTCCGGGACTTTGCCGTCTCGCAGAGCCGCAGCGCCACCCTGAGGGCGCAGCACTACGCCGCCTTGGATCTTGATGAGGCTCGTTTGGTTTACCAAGAAACCTTTCAGCCACGAAACACACTAAAAACAACGGAAGCTACAGCTCCTCGAAGAGTCCCTTGTCCGGCACCTCCTGCCATGACCACCACCACGGATTCGATTGCGCGATCAGCCTGATCGTGAAACCGAACCGTCGCAATCTGAACATACAGTGGTACTACAACGAAGGGACACACAAAGCAAATCAAGGAGCACCATTACTAAAGATACTCTCATAACTCTCTAATACCGACACTTACACACACACAATATCATACAAACATACATAGCTGCATCAACAATGGTCATCAACTGAGGTCATCCGACAAAGGCAAGAGCAACAACCACACCAGGCTAGGCGAAACGTTGCTAATACTCCTTTCTTATCGTATCTTATCTTATCTGTGCACGTAACGTACCGCTCACCAACAAACATACTTAGTTCCCGCCTCTCTTAGCTCATCTTTAGCTGTGCCAACCACATCACATTCATCAACAAAGATCTTTTGGTCGGAAGAGGCAAGGGAAACCACGCCGGTACCAGGTAAAGGCGGACTTAAAGCAACGTTGCTAATACTTCAGTCTTATCCTCTCACATCTTATCAGTGCCCGTACCGTACCGCGCGCTCGCCAACTGAACATTTGCTTGCTGTCAGACAGGCAGAACACCCTTTGTAAAGCTAGCTAGGAGCAGAATGAATTCCAATCCACCATCCAAACTTTGGCTCCGTCGCTTCCACACCGTTGTTTTAATTTATGGACGTCCAAACGGGAAGATCCAATCTGGTAAGCGCAGAGCAGGTTTCCCGTCGTCGTCCTCGCAGTACTCCAAACAATCTTGACCCTTCACCTTGGACAAAAAGTTCTTCCAACTTGCCTTGGTCGGATCACTCTCTAGTTCCTTGGCCACCTTTTCGCGGCCATGGGCTTGGCCATCCGAAAGAATATCCATCATCTTCTTGGCCTTGGCTCCCGTCACCTTCTCCTTGGCCATTTCCAACTGCTCTCCATTGGACTTGGCCACATCCACTTCTTTGGCATTCTCACGGCCCAAGACTGTCGGCGTAAAAAACTCCACGTCCACAACCATATACTCCTTCTTCTTGAGCGTTGTAATGGCGTTCTTGTAGGTGCCAGTTTCAGAGGGGAAACCGCACATGGATGCCACCTTCTTTCGTGGTGCTTTGTCCTCACCACTCTGGACGCATACAGCGTGGGTATTGTCCAGAATCTGCTGCCAAAGAGGAGGACCTCCTGCTTTTTTCTTGCTATTGGGTGCGCTATGCTTGGCCTTCTTTTCGGTTTTTTTCTTGGTTACTTCGGTCTTGCTTGACTTGTCCTTTTTGGTCTTGGTGGGGGGCATGGTTGATACCGTAGCTTGCTATCTGGTCTGGCTGTGGAGAGCAAATGGAACCGATGAACAGAGTTTTGTGAGAGCTCTTCAAGTTACTTCGATTTGGTGAGACGGCGAGGATGGGTTGACTGAGAGTCCACGCTAATTCCACGGTAAAAACCAAATTAGCCAGTTAGGCTGCAGTAGCGTGGAAGTATTTCGATTATTCCCCCCTCAAACATTAGATTCTGCTATTGTAATACCAGGAAAGCAACCGGACGACCATGCATACTAGTACTTGCACCTATGTATACCGGTAGCATTGTACATGTACTAGCATTAGTATCCCAACACACATGGTTTAGTTTTAGTGGGTGGTGAGGTGGTGAATGACCAATTGGACTGAGAAATATCTGATGTTGAGGATGATGGGTAAGAGACTACCAGCACAAAAATGGAGGACCAGGGCTTCTTAATGGGGACGAAGAGGGCACTAGCACGCAATTACCTCCAGGACGCTGTATCAGAGGATTCTGACCCAGGTCCCAGATGATCAACTCTTTTCTTTGGAGGACAGAGCATTGGAAACTTGGTGTGGTGATGCCATTCCAATGATGCTTATTAGTTAGCTGCAGATCTCGTGAACCTGTCTCGCCAGCACGCTTCTGTCCAGGCCAACCAACTGCCAGTTCCTGACCCAGAGGGAGACAGTCAATGTGAAAACCTTGCGATACGGTAGTTTCATAGATATGCACACCAGTGCAAGAAACTTTTCCGGTTCCCTGACAGGCCAGAAGGAGTTCATCTACTGGGTAGTAGGCCTAGCTAGCCTCTCTGCAAATCCCGGCTAGATTGGTACGACTGTAGGCTTTGCTCAGCTGTCAACAAACGTATGCATAGTTCAACCATTCCGTCTCTGTTCCGATCGTTGGCTGGGCCAAAGTCGTGCAAAAGATCCCTTTCACATGAGTGACCTTGACAGCCAAGGACGGAGTTGTATGTGTCAAACTCACTCAATCCACTAGACTAATAAAGAGATACCGATATCGACATAATGTGACCCTGTTGGCGCCCAAAACTGTCTGCCTGTTTACATCATCTGCATCTAGCTAGCTAGTACGATTGGAATTCAAAAATCTAGAACTATCAGTCGAAGAGGTGATGGCACTGGATCTCTTACCGGTCTTCTACGCGATCGTTTCCTAACTGTTCACTCGTGGTTCTCCGCACGCTTTGAAGAAATTTGGAGGCATTCAGCTCACAAAATCAAGTCGAAGCCGGTGTGAACGAACAAAGCAAGAAGATCTAGCTAACCAGCTCGAGAGTAATAAAGTGGTATCCAAACATCCAAGCTATAAGCACACAAAAACCAACAACAACAAAATGAACCAACCATATCAACTTGACTGGGCCAATGCAGCTTCCGGTGAGTCTCGTCCAAAGGATGTTGTCATTATTTGTGTCGGTTGACCATGTCACTTTCTAACATTTTCTTTTTGCCTTGTCCACAGGAAAACGAGTTTCTGCAACAAAACGCCGTGTTCGCTTCCGCTTTGGCTTTTCCAACCCTAAAGCTGTCGCTCAGGGCCGCACTGGTGTCGAATGCCGCGGTGAAGAACACGAGGTTGGCCTTGTTTGGAGTCTTACAAGCGGAAAGCGTGTGGTTGCCTTTGACGGCAAGGAAGTCCACTTTTCGCTTGGAAAGCGTGGAGAAACCAAGTTTGAAGCGACTTGGCCCATGGATGGTGGGCACATCTTGAAGATCGTTGCTCATGCCACACCTCCCCTGCGTTCCTCGCCAGGTTTCAAGCAGTTTGACCTGCTTCTGGATGGCATGTCCTTCTTTGACATGCCCAGCGTATACGAGCTGGGTGCCCACAACCCCCGACGTGTTGCATTCGCCGTCTCTCCGTCGGCACATCAGCATGCCGTCTCGCATCACTACAATCAGCCCAATCCAGGGTCGGAACGCTTTGCCAGCAGAATGAGCCACTTTGAAGATGCTCACTCGATGAACAGCGGCAGCTTTTCCTCCTTGGAACCCGTCCAGGCTAACGGATTTTCCGGTCCTGCCCGTCGCAATACCTTGGACCCAGTTCCTGCTGGGCGTCATGCTCCTGTGGTTGTGGTGCCTCCTGAGGATGTGTTGTCGGAGATTCCGCGAGGAACGGATTTGTTGGCGGTGCCTGCTGCTGCAAGCAATGTTCCCGATGAATTCACTCCTGTGGTCGTCCAGGCTGCGTCTCCTACCTTTCAGGATGTATCCAATCAGATTCTGAGTGCCTATGGTCCCCCGGCAACCTCCACGGGCCCTCCGACGTTGGCCTATGAGCCTCATACTCATTACCAGCCTGCCCCACAGCAGCAGCTGCAGCAGTACCCTGCAAGTGTCCCCAGCTCTACCCAGCATCAGTACTATGGTGCTGCCTTGGTCTCGCCGGATGCCTCTATGGCTTCTGCTAACAGCGGCTTTCAAGTGCCTCAGCAGCGGGAAATGGTGGTCAATGAAAAGCCTGTGGAATCGCCAACCCCCAACCAGACTATTGCCCCTACCATGACTATGATGAAACCATTGGAGCTTGCGGAGCTTCGCGACTCACCGCCTCCTATCGGTGCAATGGATCAAGCAGTGCACAACCTGGTCAATCTACATGATCTCATGGAAATCAAAGCCACTCCTGAGCAGATCAAGACAAAGCGTCAGAAAGAGTTGATGGTCAAGAAGGAGCACAAGTCCCGTCCCAAGCCCCCTGCAATCAATGACTATCATGTGGGCAGCAATGCTTCATTGGCGGATATTAAGCAGCACAAAAAGCCCAGTGCTCCACCCGCAAAGGAGGTCATGAAGATGCATGCATTTGATCCCGCTGCCGCCCAAGCGGGAATGATGGTGGTCTACGGACAGCCTCAGCAAGCACCACCAAGTATCCCCGCAGCAACAGGGTTTGGTGCCGGTGCTTACAATGGTGGCTACCGCTATGCTGCTCATGTCCGCGCAGGATACTAAATTGAACGGGAGCTTGAGAGAGAAAATGAAGAGGGGCCCAGCCCAGTACAGTTTCCTCGTGCGCCATAAGATTGTTTGCTATTGAGCTTTGTTGCAAATTAAGATGCATTTTAAAACAAAAATTATAAGAAATAAATAACCGATTGAAACGAAGATGCATTTCTGGTGCCTGATGCAGCTTGCTGTTGTTTTGTGACATGGAGTGGACTTTTGGTCTTAATGCAAAGCTGTACTACTTTTTTCTTTTTGAAGTTGCACTCTAAGTTTCCATTTCGTCAGTCTCAGCATTCAAGAGGCGTCCACTGGCATATCCACCCTGATGGTTGTCGTATGTTTCGGGACGAGCCATTTCTCCTTGTGCCCTCTCGGTCCTTTTCTCTTTGCGCATTTGTTCCAACTCCTTGCGCAGCCAATGGTCCGCAATAGCCAACATTTTGCAAGGGTGGTTTTGCTGTTTGAGTTTTTCGTAGTATTCCAATTCACTCATCTTGCCCTGCCAGCCACAAGCCCCGTTGTTGGTCAAGTAAAACAAGTGGGACGCCCAGTCATCTGTTGATGCCAGGCCAGGGATGCAAGAGAAAAAAATTAGAAATTCAAAATTGACACTTGTCATGCTGAAACTAACAGTCTGCGGTTTATCATCCAAAAAAACATACCTAGTCCGTCGAAGATGTGGGTCGCATAGATAATGGTAGCCCCACGATTCCACTTTTAGGTCAAGTGGAGCTACTAGACTATAGCAAGATCATGTCAATATGGGTCTATAGAGGTTGTAAACCTCCCCTCCAGACTAGGATCCAGGCAAAGGCAATGGCCCTGGTTTTTCCCTTCCCTCCCGCCCGGTGTAAATTGGATGGAAGTAGGTCGTCTGGATACATGCAGCAGCCCTACCTGGTATAA